TTGGATGGTTCACCATTTTCTTCAGTGTGAGAGTTGTATTGTGGTTAAATGGGAAATGTACTCATTCTTATAGAAATGGCACACTGACATATTTAAGGATGTCGTGATGTCGTGAAGTGTGATTATGAAGTCCCCAATTTACCATAAACTATTCAGGAGAGAAAAACAAAAGTGGCAAAATATTAGGAATGGTGACTCTAAATGAAACGTATATTGGCATTCTTATTATTACTCTTTCACGTTTCCCGTAAGTTTGAAATTTTCCAAAATACAATTTTAGAAAAATAACCAACAGGATTCTAGAAATGGACCAAATGATACTAATGTCCATCTGGAAATATAAACATGCATGAATAAGTAGGAAAAATCCCGGTCATTTTTGCAACAGACTTCAGAACTCAGAAACAGGTCTAAGTATATACATAAATTCAATGTATGAATGAGGATGGCTTTTCAAATCAGTGTGGGGGAAAAAAGTCAAAAAATGGAGTTGGGATAACCACACAGCTCTTTGGGGAGAAAAATGTTGAATCCTTACCTCACTCCTTCTACCTAAATAAAGTCCAAATGAATCAAAGATGTAAAGATTAAAAAAAAAAAACTTAAAAGTACTGGAAAAATACATTAAATTTATTCTTAAATGTAAAGAAGGCCTTTCTAAGCAAGGCATGAATCCCAAAAGCCATAAAGACTGAGAAGTTTAACTACATAAATAAGTAAATAAATCAATCTCAGGAAAATATTGCCAAACATATGACAATGGACCAATTTTCTTAGCTTACAAAGAGCTCATACAAATCAATAAAAAACAAAGCATCTAGTAGAAAACAGAACATGACCACACAGTTCACAGAAAATGAAATATAAGTAACCAATAAACATGAAAATGTGTCCCATATCCTTTATTAAAATGCAATCTAGCTGAAGTAAGGTGCAAGGTATCACTTATTCAGTTTCAGATGATCAGATGTTTAAAAGTTTAGTACCCAGCAACGGCATAGGCCTTGGGAATAATTGTTCTTATACATTCTATGTGGGAGAGTAACTAGGCAAAGACTTCTGGAGAACCATTTGGCAATAACTACTTAACTGAAAGTGAAAAATAGCCTTTGACCCAGCAATCCTACTGCTAGGAAGTAACCCTGTGGGTGTAATCTCATTATACGTACAAGTCTGTTCACTGGAGCATGGTTTAACCATAGTAAAATACTGAAAACCTGAGATCCCATCAGTGTTTCGACATTTGTAACACATTCATACACTGGAACGCCGCACAGTCATTAAAAAGAATGAGGTATTTCTGTATAGCCTGATACAGAAAGATCTTGCAAGACACAGGTGGCAAAAATAGCAAGATACAGAAGAGTGTATACATTCTGACTCCATTAGTGTAAAAATTTTTTTACTATATATTTGCTGGCAAATAATGACATCCCCGAACAAATACACATGACACTTTAAGCTGGTTACCTTTGGAGAGGGGCATTAGGCACGGGAGGGAAGGGGCAGGTTTTAATGTCATGCCTTTCTGTACAATCTGATTTGTTGTTTTTGCCATGTGCATATTAACTTCATACTTGATTTGTAGGTTATTTTGACATATCCCTAGGTAGAGTTGAATGCTGGTGGTGTTAGTTTTCAAAATACTCCAGAGAGGTGCCAAGTTTTACAAACCAGAACTTCCCCCTGGATTTTCATCAGACTCCCGATTGGCCACCTGATGCTTTAATCATAATGATGTCAAGTATAAAGTTATAACAAATTTGCAATGGGATGATTGGACACTGCTACTCACGGACTGAAATTCTTATACTCCAAAGGGCATGTGATAATTTATAAATATAAGTGAGATTACACATTCTGTTTTGACTCTAAAAAAAAAAAACACACAAAATAGCCATTAGACTTTACATGTACAAGAAAAAGTGAAGTATCCATTGAATTTAGTAAAACAGCATCACACTGGAAAAAAAAATACAGTCATAAAATTAGCTCTTACATTTTTCTGGGGACAGAGAAGCAGAAGAGAATGATATTTAAAAAACAAAACAAAAACAAAAACCACTACCAAAAACAGGGTGAGACAATCATTTATTTATTGGACAGGGCAAGGTCATTTAGAGAGAGGAAACATATCCAAAAGAAGGTGTTTAGCTTGGTGTTACAGGCATTGATGTTCACAACAAACAACACTACTCAATACATCATGGAAACAGGCCACATACAACCAGGAAGATGCTGTCATGTCACTCAAAAATAAGCCACGGTGCTTAGGAAACAATCATTAGGGAGTTAGCAGAGCATCATGGTCTCTAATCCGCCGATCTGCATTGTCTGTGGCTGGGACATTAGCCGATAGCATCTGGCTGGTTCCCTGGTTATTAAGAAGTGTCTTGCTATATTCTAGTGAGCCTTCCATATTGAGTACACGCTTCTGAATGTCTCTAAAATTGGCAGTCACCTGCAGGCTTAACTACACTACACATCACTACATTTTTGGACTACCCTAGGTAGTCATGGACGGTCTCAAAGTATTATAAATAAAATCCTGAATTTAATTCATTTAGCACTGTTACGATGCATCCAAATCAGCTTTAGTCCTATGGTACATACCTGAAAACGGAAACAGAAATTCACGGGAGGAAAGTAAAGAAGAAATTTGGGAAGCTCATCTGGCTTGAGGTATACACACCTGCTAACAAAGTTAGACGCACCTGAAAACTATGTCAATTATCTGCCAAAATATTGGGCATGATTTTTACTTGGACTTTCCTGACTGGGCAGGCAAAGATTTCAATATCCATTCTAGAGCCTAGCCAAAATCTTGTCAATAGTAGTAGATCATGAGTGACTGATTACGAGGAAAACTATTCAGCCTAAAACTGACTAGAAAACGAGTAAGTGTCTGGCCCTCCCCAGTCACATCCACTGATTCTGCCAACCACTTCCTTCCACAGAAATCACAGTTCTCGGGAGGAGACGCGCTCACTCCACGTGCAACAAAACTACACTCGAGGAGCCAGTCACTAAAAGACCAGACACTGTACGAATCCACTCGTATTAAATGACCAGAATAGGCAAATCTATAGAGGCAGAAAGCAGATTAGTGGTTGCCCGGGGCTGGGAGGCACTGGGAGGTGGGGTGGGGTACGAGAGGTGCCTGCCAAAGGGTACAGGGTTTCTTTTGGGGGTGACAGAAATGTTCTAAAACTCACTGTGGTGCTGATCATACAACTTTGTGAATATATTACAAAACCACTGAACTATACCCTTTAAATGGCAGCATCGAAGGTATGTGAATATTAAAAAAGGAAGACAGCCCCCAAAAAGCAGAAAAGAGGCTCTTGCAAGTCAAGTCACACCTGAGGAAATGGTAGACAAGCCTGATATAACGAGCCGCCTTCTCACACACTATTTTGATTTACATTATAACCACATTAACCCCTGAATTCCACTGTTCATTCATTTCTAAATTATTCTAGGCTATCAGCAGATTTCTAACTTTGTTCTCCTTAGAGAGCAGAGTCAGTGTTCCACAGACAGACTGGCTTGGCAAAACAAAACTATACGACAATAAAAACTCAACGACGAAATAATCTCGTGCTTTGGGGCTGTGTGTTACCAGGCAGAATAGAAGAGCTGAGGTTCATTTCTAATGGGAAAAATGCCACCAGGCATAAGGGCACCTTACGACTCTTGCCTAAAGCATATTTCCTTTTCAAATCTGCACAGTTATTCCCTTTGCACCTACACAATTCAACAAAAGCAATGTTTTCATACCTGCACAGTTCAACAAAAGCAACCTTCTCTACAAAAGAATGTGACGCTCCCTGCAGATCAAAGAGCTAGCCAAATTTCCCTGAACCTAAAATTACTGTTTCTAAACAAAAAAAAACAAAGTCTCCTCTGTACCCTCATCCTTACCTTCAGCAGCACACAATGAAGATGGAAAACTCTAAGCCTGCTATAAATCCGAAGCCATAAAACAACTTCTTAAATGACCTTGTTTTTAACTAAAGGTATTAGTTCCAAATATTTAAAACACATTTGTCCCGAGGCCTTGGAAGTTGACCTCTGATGAGAACTTTCCTTTAGTTTTACTAATTCACTAGTTTAGTATGCAGTAAAATAACAGAGTCTTCGAAGAAGTTAAACAGGCTAATGACCAGTCATGGGCTTTCTTCTGTGATTACCATTCTTCTGCAGACAGGATAATTAATGAAACCATGAGTGGTCTTTTTGGTCTATCTGCAGCTATCCTTAAACTACATAATCGGTTAGGGAAATTTCCGACAGATAAATGAAGAGAACACAAGTAGCTTTACGGCAAGTTGAATTTGTTAAACCTACTTATGACAAAGAATTTCGGACACAAGAATCGCTCACTGCACACAGAACCCCAGAGAAGTGATGGCACAAGACAGCTGACGTGGGAAGGTATACGGGAGTGGGGCGGGGTGAGAGGTCGTGAGAAATTAAAAACTGGCATGTATCTGCTGGAGCAGAGCCACTGTTTAGGGGGCGGCAGAAAAACTGCTAAGTCACCATTTTGGTCTCTTTAGAGAAGTCCATTTGTTGTTAAGAACCAAAGACCTTTCTACTATCATTCGTGCTGCAAAATGCAGTAGTCCCATTATTGCCAAAAGGATCCCAAAAACTGAAGTGCAAAAGAAGAGAAATCTAAGAAAATAAATAGTTACAAAATCATCGACATTTTTCAAAGAAATGTGTTCAAAACAGTGACTTTTACAAAAGATAGGAATTTCTTTTAAGTGGAAAAAGGAATTCTATGAAAGCTCAAAGACTCATTTCACAGATAACTTATACTCCATTAATGATTTGATTAACAGTGTACAAACAAGGGCCATAGACTCTTTTTAATTAGGTCTGAAAAATCAATATAATATAAATACTGATGATGGGGGGGGGGAGCGTTTTATACCCCAAACTCCAATATTCCAGCTCTGTGTCCTGTCCTATTATTATAATCTGTAAAAATCTTAACGACGCAGTGATTCAAGTTTTCGTAACTTCAATGATGTATTAGAGGACAATGCATCTTGATTTGAAGAGTTTGTTGTATCCGAAGGCCGGAACAGCACTCGACCACGATGATTAAATACATAAAATGATGGGTGATTCCTTAATGTGTCAAATGTCCTTAAAAGAAAAAACAAAGAACATCCACTTTAGATAAACCTATCAAAAAGCCTATTTGAAAACAAGCAGGCTTCTAATGAATTATGAATTTGCTCTTAACTAAGTTTAAATCCGTGAAATCAGGCTATAAACAGGCTATAATCATACTGTGTTTCATTTCTTTTTCCTGCGCAAGGAAAATAAGAAGCCTGGGAAAGCAACATAAAGCCCTCAAATTTGTCTTTCAGCCGTTCCTTTCTATGAATAATAGCACGAATCATCGCTCAACTGTAATCACATCTATAAATCTTACACTAGCTGGCCATGCCAAAAAATTTTTTAAAAACCAGTACACAGATTTTACCTTTGATTATTTTCATTTGGCCCTCACTACTCAAGCAATACGACCGTTTCACAGATCTGTTTCCAAGAATCTTTCAAGTACAACAAAAAGCTCCTTTTGGCCCTTCTGTACCTTCTGTTGTCCAAACTCATGCATTTTGCTACCACCTACTAAATTGATATATTTTGCTACCACCTACTTAATGCCATTCTGTTTTACTTCTTTCCTGGCCCTCTGCCTGCAATTCTTGGTAGACTCTTTGTAAGAACTACAGTGGGTGGTGATAGTAGAGTATCCTTTCTATTTTCTCAACAAGACTATATATATATATAGTCTAAAAAAGTTCACAAACACCTAAGTGTATGGCTTTTAGTATTGGTTTGTTTAAACATTATTTTCCTGGAGAAAGAAGGACTCTGCCTCGATAAAAATTCACATCTCAAAGTCAGCCCACCTAAAAATCCAAGCATACTCCCACGTAAAACAGGAAGCCTGAGATGTGACTATTTAAAATGTAAATTGAAAAGTAAAAGTAACAAGGGGGTGGGTTTCCTCTAACAAATAAATGCTCACTGTGAATCCTTCTGAGGACACATTGTAAAGGGTTAAAATTTCCAGGTTCAAGAAGGTGGGTGAAGTCCAGAGACGGAACTGAACAAAGGTACAAGGATAATTTCATGACGGTAAGAAATATGGAAAAGAAAAAGCAAGCAAAGCTCAAGGAAATAGCTTAGAAGTACAGGAGAAAAAAGAAAGCAAAATAACAAATATACTGTAGTCCAGGAAGAGGAAAGGGCCAGAGAGCAGAGTCTATGTCACAGACTAGGTTCAAGTGGTAGAGGAAACAGAAAACCCCTATTCTTCCAAAGACTGAGCTGGAACAAGTGGATAAAGAGAGTGGGGGGAGGGAGGGAGGGAGGGAGGGAGAGAGGGAGGGAGGAAGGAAGGAAGGAAGGAAGGAAGGAAGGAAGGAAGGAAAGGAAAGAAGGGAAGGAAAGAAGGGAAGGAAAGAAGGGAAGGAAAGAAAGGGAAGGAAAGAAAGGGAAGGAAAGAAAGGGAAGGAAAAAGAGGAAGGATGAAAGGAAACAATTTCTGAGGGGATATCTTCCTATACGTCTATTTCTTTCCATCCGTCGAACCAATAAATAATTTTAAGCAAATATAACACATCTTAGTCTACTGTCAATAATCTGTCATACGACTTCCATTTTTCCATCCCATCAAACACTGCCTCGGTATTTTCACCTCACTACTCAAACGAGCTGCATAATCAAAATGTAAAAACAAAACCAACTTTTATGTACCAGAAAATATACATTTTAAATTATGTAAATGAAGCAAAACCCCTATGAAACTAAATGCCTATGAAAAGGGAAGGACTTACTTATTTTTTAGTTCTGAAGTGGCATCCATGTCTTTAAACTCCCCTGCAATATGAACTATACCATAACAGGTAACTGCAAAGGCCAGAAGTGTCTGAAGAACTATCTGTGAGTATAAAGATTGAGATTATCAAATAACATACAAATATTATCATAAAACTTTGCCATTTTCTCTCCATCTCTTTTTAGCCTCTGACAAGTATTTCTCCCAGGTCCTACCAAGGAATCAATTCTCCCTTTAAATAATTTGAACTCAGACACACCAAAATCTTCTATACATTCTGCGGATTGGCTGCAAAGATACTTCTGGGTCTTCTCAAATAGCAAACAGGTACTGAGCCATTCAGAACTCAGTTATCAACGGTTACCTGCTTCCAAGAGCAGCTAAGAATTTTTAAATGTATTATGGTTAAATATCATTGAGTATAAAAAGAACACCCCTGACCCACCACCCAGCTTAAGAAATAAACCTACCAGTACCTTTCAAGTCCCACATGTCCCTCTCCAGTTATATCCTTCACCCTTCCCTCAAGGTGAACTATTGTACTGAACTGTAAATTAACCAGTTTTTGAGGCTTTTCTTTATAATTTTACCAGCTATGTATGTACCTCTAAAATGTATATTGCTTCCTTTTTTCCCATTTTTGGACTTTCTTGTGAGATTCACCCCTATTGTAGTATATGTATCCTTGTAGTCCATTCATTCTCATCATGTTTTATATTATATGAATATTCCAAAAGTTATTCATTCCACTGCTGATGGCTATGGGGGCTGTTTCCTGTGTGTTACTTTTAAAATGTCAGTATGGATATCCTGGTATATGTCTCCTGGTACATGGGAGTAGAACCACTGGGGGAGAGTATACACACGTTCAACTTTATTAGGTAATACCAAAATGTTTTCCAAAGTGGTTGTGCAAGCAGAAACTTGCAATGTTTGATATTAACCAACATGGGATTACAGGCACATTTGATTTTCTTGATTGTGATTTTTCTGTATTTTCCAAACTTCCCAAGTTGTAAACAGCAGCAAGGTATTTTAAAAAGATATAAATGAATACATGTGTTCAAGCATCCACCACAATGCAAAGGTGATAGGAGAGTGAGTTAATAGTCTCATCTATCAAAACTTTCATTACAGACAACTAAAGTCAAAATTAGCCACAAGCTATTACTCTTAACTTTCTAAATTAAAACTCATATCACATGTTATACCAATTTACATTCCCCCACCAGTGTACCGAGACCTATTTCATACAATGTAATCACAGGCACCATTAACAAGAATGTGGTAAATCAATGACTTATCATGAAATTATGTCACAATAAACTGTTAAGTAATAAAAAGCTAATTATAAAACCATACATATATACACAGAGATAATAACTTTTTAAAAGAAAAACTGTTTTGATTAGGTAAAACTGTACATATGTAAGTAAAGATAATACTGTTTGTGCACAGGAAGAGGGCTGAACCACTGACATACTCCGAACTGTTGGGAGTAGAAGCAGAATTGCTGACCAGTGGGGTCACTTCTCTTTTATTGTACAGGGTTGGTTTTACTTTTTACACACACTGTTTGATTCTGTTACAAAGAAGTTACTAGTGTGTCATTTACAATCCTTTAAAGATAAAAAGGGTGAGTGAAACTAATGTAACATTTTAGCTTAAAAAAACCCAACAACACGTGTGTTTGTTTTTATTTACTTTTACCGCCTACACGTGTCCCTAAACAATGTTACTTTTTCTTGTTCTTAAACTTTACATAAAAAGGAACTTTGCTAAAAAATGAAGCCAAATAATCAACTTTTTAAGTTCATCTCAGACTACGAACGAAGAAACTTCAAGAATGACTATTTAAACTACAGTTCTAGAAACCAAACACAGAAATCTTTTGTTTCCAAATCTTCGGGTTTTACAATGAGTGACAAAAAGTAAAGTAGAGAACAGATGTTATTTCATGTCTGGAAAATTTTATGAGAATAAAAACCAGTAAAAAATTATTATAAGCTATGTGGCTAATTTTTAAAATATATTTTAACGGAATATAAATGACCAACTTACATCTATTGGCAGTGATTCATCTTCCTTTTCTGTTAATCGCATATAAGAACGATCTATAAACCAGAAGCATACCATTAAGGAAATTGTAGCCCATTTTTCTTTCTTAAAATGCAAGCAAATCAATACACCAAAGAAGCGGCTGACTTATATGCTACATAAAGCAACGCTAATCCCGGATTCCTCAAAAACCTCTATCTTCTAAGGCAGTCAGCCTGATCTTGAACTATTTTATTTTCATCACGACCTGCTTTGTCACCTTATAAAACACAGAAAGAGTGAAAGGTGAGCAAGTACAAGGAAGAAATACCTAAAACCACATTTTTTTCTTTCTTTCTTTCAGTACTATAGGAAAACTAGAATCCTCTGAAACTGTTTCTTTCACTAACGGGTCAAAGAAATCACAATTATTTAAAAACGAATAAGCCTACAGAAAATCTCAACTCTGAAGTAGCACCACCATCACATAGTATGGACCAAGTAATACCGGTATGGATATGTTTTTCTCCTGCCAGAATACGTTGGAGCAGTGGGAGAACAGGTGAAATTCCAGGATGTCAATTTCTGCCTCTCCGATTAAATTACAATTCCGCTGCTGCCTTAGCCTCAGGAAGCAGCAAGGTAGGAAAGAAAAGCATCAGGATTTGGAAGCTGATAAGCCTGGATCATAAAACCAGCTCCTCAACTTACTGTCACTGAGTTTATCTCATTCAACCCGAAGACATCCATCACCGTGAGTTGTAACATGTATCTCAATTTCAGAATGTTAGAATGAAGGACTTGGAAGGGGATGTGTGTCTGAGTGTCAAAGAAATACAGTATCTATTTTTCAACTGCCCATGTTTCTGCAACAGTAAAATGGGGATAATGTGAAGATTAAGTAAGATACATGATAGCCATTCTGCCGTAACAAAGCTCATTGCAGCAAAGATGGGCATTGCTACAGTACAATAGTTTGCTGTCCGCTGCTACGGTCTGACAGGACACAATTAGCTTCCAAGGTAAATATTAGTCTTTTTGCAACATAAGCATTATAAAGAGGCCCCACTGCAGTGACAAATGCCACAAGGCATTCTCATCTCACCGGAAACACGAGTCTCTAACTCTAGAAGAATCTTGCACAAGCCCTATTTAATAATGTGCTGTGGACTAAAAAACCCAAACTGCTGTCAGGGAACATGTAGTGACTCTTAAAAGAGTGCACTTAGAGACATTTCTCAAGTTTTATCTTATGGGTTTAACATAAGGACCGGTGTAAAAGAAACATCCAGCCAATACCAAAAATAGGTTTGGCTAGCTTCCTACTGTCAGTTCGATTCCCAGCCAGCCTTCTTCTTTGCATGAAGGCTAATCTGACTCTAACACTACCTTTAACCAGGCATTTCCTCATTTGTAAAATGAAGGAGTCAGACTTACTTCCATGATCTCCTCGCTCTAGAACTCTTAAAATTCCAACGCCGAAGCCAACTGTACAGAATGACGCAGAACTCAACAGTACCCTAATCTCGTCTACAGTAGCGCTTCTCAAAGGACTGTACAACCAAATCATCTGAGGATCTTATTAAAATGCAGATTAGGATTCACTAAACTCTGGGGCAGGGCCTGAGTTTCTACCTTTCTAGCAAGCTCCCAGGTGATTCCCTCGAGGCTGGTCTGTTAAACACACTTGGGCAGCAAGGCTCTGAGATATGTTCCTTAACCTCCTTGTCCCTCACCTCCCACCCCCGGACCATCTCCAAGCATCCTTATGTACTTTTAGCATAGCATCCATATTACTTTATTGTGATTATTTATTGATCCATTTGTTTCCCCACTTGACTTTGAACTTCCCCAGGGCATCACTGTACCTCTAGCACCTAAGCACAGAGCAATTTCAACCAATTACATGAAACTGAATTTCATAAAGTGGTGCAGCACATAGGCTCTAGAGCCAAACTGCTTGTCTTTGAATCCTGACCCCGCCATGTATCATCTGTCAGTTTCTGCAAGTTTCCTAGCTATGTTCGTCTCAACTTCTTCATCTTTCAAAAGAAATCATAACAACAGCTACCTCCCCCACAGCGCTTTTGGTAGGACTGAATTATATAATACACATAAAGTGCTTAGTTCAGTGCCTGGCACATGGTAAGCACATAATGAATGTTAGCTGTTATTATTGTTATCATTAAAGATTGGAGCTTTGGATAAGCTGTCACAGAATAGAGAAGACTGGGGAAACAAGACAACCAAATGTAATGTGATACCCTGGATTGATTCCTGGAATAGAAGACCTTATTGGAAAAACTTGTAAAATCCAAATAAAAGCTAGACTTCAGTTAACAGTAATATGCCAGCGTCAGTCTCTCAGTTGTGACAATATGCCACGGTAACAGAAGATGTTACCAATGTGGGAAACTGGGCGAGGGGTATACGGTAACTCTGCACTACCTTTGCAACTTTTCTGCAAATCTAAAATTTCAAAATAAAAATGTACGTAAAAAATAAAACTGAATTTCCGTCAGACAAATGTCATGTCATAAATACATGCATGAAAAAAGTAGTGAAAATAGCTCGGTCATTTTAACTGTGTATAATAAACAGAACAAAAGATTTTATCTTGAAAAAAAATTAAAGCTTTGAAGGAATTCACATTTCATTTTCTACTTTACTCCTGAAGATGGGAAGTAATCTAGCAAACGAATAAAGTTCAACTTTAAATTCACTTCCTTCATTTAACAAATGTATTGAGTACCTACTGTGGGGAGGATTATGCTAGGCAGACAGATCATAGCAATGGATTAAATGAGCTGCCCACGTGCGCTAGGACAGAGGTTAGCAAACTTTTCCCGTGAAGAGTCAAATAATAAATATTTTAGGCTTTGCAGGCCACACTGTCTGTGTCAACATCTCAACTCCCCACTTAGAAAGCAGCCAGGCAACACCTAAATGAATGGGTGTGGCTGTCTGCCAGTAAAACTTTATCGATGGAGACTGAAACTTAGATTTTTTTTATTTTTTATAACTGTCACGGATCATAAAATGATATTCTTTTGCTTTTTCCCCCAACAAATTAAAAAATGTGAAACTATGTGTAGCTGACTACAAAAACAGGAGAGAGGCTGCATTTGGCCCACCTGCCAGAGTTTGCTGACCCCTGGTCTAGAAGAAAGACCTAAAAACGGATCCGCTGTCTAAAGACTGCACTACCTCGTCTGTTGGCCTTCCAAGTTTCTTCTCCACGATACAACCGTATTGGTATGTTAAAGTACTTTTACTTGTTTGCTTTTAAATTTCCCAACCACTCTGTGACCCAGGAAAGGCAAGAATTAAAATCCACCTCTGTGAAAGCTCACAGAAGGGACATGACTTGCCCAAGGTCATACAGATTTAGTGGTAAAGCAAGTTTTTCGGAACCAGCCCCCCAGACTCCCGGTCCAGTGCCCTTTCTCCTGCAACACAGTGCCCCCACAAGGCAAACGGTCATTTAACTTCTCAGTCTCCGCCTGGACAGCCCAGGAGCGCCCAAGATGCTGTCCACCTAGCTGTCATGGGACCACGAGCACCAGAGGTCCTCAAGCCGACACTTAGCCTGCTCAGCCCCACGCTGGATCTGACATCACTCGTCCCGGATTCCGGGCCAACTCCCTCTCTGGCCACCCTGCAGCCCCACGGCCTCCCTCTTTGCCCACCCTGCAGCCAGCTCAGAGCCCTCTCCCAGGCACCCCCTTCCCCTTCCATCCCTGCTGCAATTTCAGGTGCCCGTCTCCTCAAACTCAAGCCCCGCGCCGCTTCTCGGAGTCACCCCCAACTCTAAGGGCTCAAATGACCATCCCCGGGAAACTCGGTCCGACACTCCCTCAGCGTGCGCCCACACACCGCCCCCGGAGTCCCGCACAGGAGCGGCCGCGGTCTCGCCCCCACCCCACCCCGGCACTTACGCTGAGCAGCGGAAAAGGCCGCGTGGGCTAGGGCAAAGAGGCCGACGCCCACCAGCCCCTTCCATAGCGACGGCGCCATGATTCCGGAGGAGCGGCAGCCCAACAAAAGAGGCGAAGGGCGGCGGAGCTGTTCCTTCTTCCACGGGCGGGTGTCCGCGCAGCGCAGACAGATGACGTCACCGAACCCCTGGGCGCGAAATGCCTTAGAGGTGGAAAAACCAAAGAGCCGTGAGAAAGCGGAAGCAGGAATGCCGGGAAGGAGGGGAAAGCGACACGGAATAAAGTCCGCGAGTGACCACGAGCCGAGCCTGCGCCGCGCGGCCTCTCCGCGAGGGGCAGCGCTGAGCTGAGAGCCTTGCAGAAAGAAGCGAAAGCGGATCAATGGAGAAGCGGAACGGAAGGGCGCCAGCAAATGAGCGTGGGCCGCGGGGCAAGGGGCGGGGCCTGCGGAGATGCCGGGGTGGGGCTTGAGGGGCGGGGCGGCGAGAGGGCCGGAGGGGGAGGTTCAAGGCGGCCCCGGGTCTCTACTCCTGGCAGGGGGGTTTGTTTGTTTGCTTTGCCTTTTCGCTCCAGAAGTCTCGTGTTTTCTGACGGCCGGTCCAGTGCTTCAGCCTTCTGGGAGCCGACACTGCTGAAGGAGGCAGAAAGGGAAGCGGCGGCGGGGTTGGGGGGGGGGTATAGAGGAGGAAAATCCCGGGATTTGGAGCCCCAAACACTTGGCATGCGTGGGGTGCTCCGTAAAAGTTAGTTCCTTTCCCCTTACCTTCAGAAGGGCTTGAAGGAAGATTCACGCCCCAGGGGGTATGGTGCCATGGGAGAATTTTGTTCTGGAGGGAGCCAGTTTACGTTAGGTTGCAATGAAAGGGCGCGAACGACGCCGGCCCATTTTCTCTCTCTCTCTCTGATCAGAAAAAAAAAAAAAAAAAAAA